AAAATACGTACAGCTAAGGGACTGCGCAATAATATTCAGGAGCATTGGTAGCTGACTACATTTATATGGTAGAATGGTATTCGTGTACTCAATATCAGCTAGAGCTCACCTTGTAAAGAGAGAAGGATCGAATGACATAATCTGCAAATACTTCAACTTTTATGGTGTTCACTGTGATGTTGCCATATTGCTGACTAGATTCAGGCCAATACTGATGACATTTTCTCTAGAAAAATACATTAATACACTATTTGATAGGGGACAGCATGGACAACTGGCAATATAGTTAGTCTGTTTTGTTGCATTGCTGTTATTGTTGTAGTTGTTCTTAACGTTACTTTGCTGTTGTTGTTTTGTCTGTCCGCCTCTGCGTCCTTTCTGAGAGACCTCGCTTCTATCGATACGACTTGAGATTATTTGAGTTGTTCTTTTGCGGTTTGTTTGTTGCTAATTAATTAAATCGTGTCGTTKGCAGTCGTTTGACACTTTTGAGAATAGTCTCCATAAGGAGACAGTGATATTCATCATGGTATCGCTGTAAACTTAAAATATATAGTACTTACTTTTTCTTGTTATATGTATTAAAGGTATTTTATAACGTTTTTTGCCGTTTTAAGATGTAATTAGGAAGATGACTCAGAATATAGATCTTACCTTGCCAAGTTCAATGACGTTTGTCAACATGACAATGGTTGCAGTGTTCTGATCCCAAATCATTCTCCAAAAGTCGTTAGTTGTATCGGGCAGAGGTCCTGATTTGTGCATGAGAACATCGATGAGTTTTATCGACTWAGRCATCGCAACAATATGTCAAAGTCATAGATCTAATAATTACCTTGTGTTGCAATGTACGTATTTGGAGAGCCATCGTATCCCTTCAGGAAATACACAATATATCATTAATCAAACTGAAGAGTTTTAGCACCACAACACCCCATGGGGAGTGAACTTCTCTTAAAATTGCGAAAGAAAAATAACAAAACAAACTAACATAACATAACATAACTCCGTTTATTATGCCATCAAACTTGGACAATATCAAGCGACCATAGAATGATACACATGTAAACCTGAATACGACTATAGTGATATGTTTTTGAGTACACTGCAAACCCAAGTTAGCCCCGCGTGGGCCTTAAAGAATCACYRCGTTTGCCGRGAATAAGGGACTTGATGTTTATGATCTTGTAAGATTCWGAAAACGTATTRACTACTTACTTGTACAAATGAAGCGTTAATGTAATCAGAGTCACTTCCATTCTGGTCATTTTGCAACATTGCTGTGTTTATGTAGTCAGAGTCAGTGGATTCAGGTTTTAGAAAAACACGTGTCCTGTCATCTGTTCAGTATTAAAAAGTACGCTTAGGATAGAATGAAAATAGGGTTTCATTGAGCACTAACTGCATACGGAGCTTCAAGGAAGGAAAACTCATCTTCAACATTTCGAGTTGTGGGAATTTGGGTACGCATGCGCGATACCTCCATCCACGATCATTGTCAAATAATGAATAAGTAGTACTTACAAGTAAAAATATTTTTGTAACGATTTTTCTTCATGTTTGATGGTTTTTCTGCTTCGATGCACTGATATTGTGACAATTTAGGAGGCACGCTCTGGTGTGTAGAACAAATTGTGATGAATGTGAAAATACATAAAACATATTGTTAGCATGGTACTTTTTAGTTGGACTCAACCAACACGAAATTATTTACCTTGAACTCCTCTTTAAGATAGCATTCATCAATGGTCCCATCAGGTCTGAAGCACTTAAGGCCAAACAAGATTGGGTTTAACTCGGACCATGTAGGATTCTCCACTTCATCTAAATAACATTAAAAAATCAAGAATACTTTTCAATACATGATTTGCCTGAATTAAAAATACATCACCTTGAACAATATCACTGCCGCAACATTTTTCTCTCTCACTAGGCGAAGCTATTTCTTCTCTTCCACTGAACGGAGATCGATCTTCTCTGGCACTTAATGAAGCCAACGTCATTGGCTGATCTGATGACTTTGTTATAGGAATGTCACGTTTGTTGGATCTTCGCCGACGTCTTGAAAAACATCAACACATCAGTATGAATCATGCGTAGTTATGACACTACCTATCAGGTCACGTGATTGACAATGAATATCCTGAATCATATAGGACTGATAGTTATAGAACAATGGCTCTATTACTTAGTGCGATTAATATTCCAACAAAATAATGGAACAATTGTTGAGGTGTTGAGTTTTGTAAGTGTGAGAAGCTGCATCTTATCGAATTTTCGTCAGTGTACTCAAACTCGTTTACCAGTATTAACTTTGCAATGGACAATAGAAAAACTACTTTTATGTGAGGAAAGAGGAATTAATGTTTTAAACTTTGTGTCAATACGTATACGTTCTTGAAAGATATAGAGTTTGTAGATGTGAGATCCCTACCTTTTCCATGTTAGGACTGTAAGCACAGCTAGCAGGATAATCACCACAAGAAGTGCTACCACAAGACCAATCATGACAGTCTTTGCTGACGATGATCTACTGCCTTCCTTTCCAAGGTTTCCTGCTGAAACTAAGGATTATATTGATAAGTTGATAAGTTGTCAGGTTAAATTCAATTGCAGAACTGATTCGTTGTAAATATGATTGTATGACGAAACATTGACGATAAATGTTAAGCTTTAATCATCATCATCGACGTCATTATCATCATCATAAAAAATAATTAAATACAGTCAACTCTCGCTATTACGGACACCCTCGGGACTGTAATTTAGTGTCCGCAGTAGCGAGAGTCCGTAGGAACGAGAGTTACTTTCAGTAACTTCTTTGTATTTTTAGCCGGGGATTCAGTATTTTACTGTCCSCAATAGTCGAGGTTTCCGTTGTAGCGTGGTGTCTGTAAGGCGAGAGTTGACTGTATTGTTATCGTCATGCTTTCTTATCAGTATATTCTTAAGTTCTTAAGTTACTCTATAACCTGTTAATGGTCCGTTGATAGAATGGTTTTGTGGATGCTGATAAGACAAGAAATAGCCTCTGGTTAGATTCAGTCATTTCAGTCGACTTTCTTGTTGATGTTCTTACCTTCCACGTGACGCTGATAGAATTTGACGAGAGATTTTTCAACGTAACAACGCTTTGGATTCCATGTGGAGCTAAGTCAAAGAGATATAGATACAAAATGTTATACCAAATAGCTCACTTTCAAGTTAACAAACCTGCTATGTCAGTCTGGATGGTCTTGTTATCGCTCCATAATCCATACGGGACAGCCTTGACTCGTATTTTATATTCAGTGTATGGCTGAAGCCCTGTGATGTTTTTACTTGTAGTTGTTGAACTAACATTAAATTTTCCCTTAGTGCTTACGTGCACAAGGTAGCCAGTTATAAGATGAGTTAGTTTACCACATGGCTGAATWGTCCATCGTACAAATATTGATCGTTCAGAGGGTGTGGCGTTAACACGTGGTGCTTCTAGAAAATTTACAACATGAAATTATTGATATGGCGATATGTATGGGTAATACTGCTGAAATGTTGTAACAACGCACCTTGATTGACGAAATACACGTTGACTCTCATCGTCTTACACGTGTGATACTTAACAGGAACGAATCTTATGTATCGTGCTGCATGGGTTTTATTCAATTCATGACGAACTACAATGTTAGCAGTTTCCCTCGTTTTGTCTTTATTGGTACACCAACAGCCTCGGTCCCAGTAAGAATTTTTATCACACTACGAAATGTCATAAATAAGATCCAAAGAATATCATTCCATTCGTTATAGTTGTCTGGCTACTGCACTAGTGCGATCGGTATCTTAAAGAATTCATGCTAGATGAGAAAAATTGATCTGTAAAGGATGGATTAACGTAGGGTATACTGATTAAATATAGCTATAGCGGCTAAAAAATGAGGTAAGAAGTGACTTTTGGTCTTTCAGGGTGACTTCAATTAAATTGTACGACTTGTTGTATGAAAGCACTAGGGGGCACAGATCCCTGTACGCAAAATATACACGTACGTGTATATCCGCGAAGAAATAAAAATTGACTTAGTTGAACTCAGTGCGGAAATGAATCTATATGACTATAGAATAATAACAATGCTGTTACCGTGTAACAATTTTGTAAGATGTCTCCATAGTCAATCCATTTAGTTGAATTTGTGTCTTGTTTAAATCGAAGTTTGAATGTTTTTATCCATTCATATGATCTACGTTTGCCATTTCCTTGTATTGCTACAGCAATGATGGCTCGTACAGCTCCAAGGTCCAGCTGTAAGTAATCCTCAGGGTTATTATTATCACGTGGTGACCATCCAAATGGGCTGTAAAGCTTTGCACCGTGTGATACGTATCGCTTGTCCCAGTATAGTTTTCCAGTCACTCGATCTCTAAGCTGCCTACTGTCATATAAGAACGAAGAGGCTGTGTAGCTACTGTTAGGAATGATTAAACGATTCTCACCAACAAGAGATCTCTCGATGCATCCTATCAAGATATATGATGTCTATAAGAACAATTGGGAGATTTTCCTTTTAAATAAAGAATGGGATGATGGCTTAAAATTATAAGTTATCTGGTATCTCTTTTGTGTTATTGCTCTCCTGGGGTAGCGAGCCTGAATCAGGCAGAGAGTGCTAGCTATGGTGCAAATTACGATTATGTTTAACTTAATTATTATCTTAAGTAAAGAATTTCTCCAGGGCAATCACATTGTGAGATTTTATCTAATTATCCTGCAAATAATGAAGAGCGTTTTTCTACCAATAGAACATAATAGCACTTATAGAACTTGCCACATCTACCTGTAGTAGACACAGCAAGAAAAAAAACGCTTGATTTTTTTTAAAACCTCTTGTATGAAAACATTGAAACATCTAGGATTTTCCTAATCTGAAGCTGTCGGATTTTAACGACTTTATCGTCAGCACCTGTCACATAATTACGTCATCATCTAATTATCATTCATTTCGCTATCTTAATTACCGATAACCTTTGTCTTTTGATACGACGGGACAGCGAATTGACACGACCTTATGCCTTCTAATTTCTATTCAACGAATTGTGCACGGTTATGAGTTCTATGTTTTCTTATTGACAGACTCTTGATGTCATAAAATATTCCGACAAAACATGAGTTTGGCTCACGGACGCAATAACATCACGAATATCATTAAGAGGACATACAAACAATTTGTATATATATGTGATGACCTCAAGTTTGTCGTCATGTATGACGTATGATATAGGATTAGCAAGAGATAAGTAGTATTGGACAACCCTCGGACAAGGAGCTTGTAAAGATTGTCGTGGACGAGTACTCAGAAAAAAGATTAATAAAATTAAACGAAGGAAATTATCCTTTAGCAGTATGATGAGTGAGGGTTTTGACAAATGTAGCCTTGTCTGCTAGGAATGAGATGTTTTGAGTTATGAATCCGAGCTTTCGCCGTCTACGGCATCATCAGGGAATGAGTAGGAAAATGCAAACTACAGTAACATTACACCAGGCGATCAAGCGTGTAATAAAATTGTTATCAACTTCGGAATCGTGCAATTTGAAGGCTATAACATATACAAAGCTAAAAAATTAACGAAAATCAATATTTTCTCTCATGAGCGTGATGGTGTCAGCTTAGTGTGTATGAGAGAGAGAGTTCATTTAATCAAATTCTTTATATATTTGGGGGAAATACTCACAATAATTACTTTTCTTTCCACCAATATTTAATTTGGCCTCTAACACGTCCCCCTCCCTCACCCCACCCCCCTCTTCCTTTTTCACCATAGCAAGTGGCAATAGTATATCTGACTACATCAACCGAAAAAGCGGTTGTCGGCTGTTCAGCGTATTATTATTGTGTTTCGATACTGCACAATAATGGTTTTGATAACACTTCCTAAGTACAATTTTTGTATGTACACAATACCTTTTTCGGGTATATAACGGAAGATTGTAATCGATCTTTAAATGTTTTTTCCCCTATAAATCAATAAAGCTAAATTGAAGTGGTAAAGTTGACTCGAGCTAGTCTCGGTCTCAGTTGATAGTTACTGTTCGATGAAAAAATCAAATAAGGGACTGTTCGTTTATTATGTCTCAGGGAGGGGCGGTGTTTTTATGTAGGGGGTACAATTTAAGAAATGTCTCTTTCAGAGGGGGTATATTTTTTCAAAGGATGTCTTAAGCGAAGGGTATGAATTACTTGCAATATTTACCACATTCCGCTTCTTCTCCCACGAGAACACTACCTTTTATCGAGCTCGTCCAGCACACGTTACGTATTATATTGCCATATTTTTTATTATTCTTTTTTCTATTCTTTTCTTCCGTCTATTTGTTATATTTTTCTAATAATAATTAATATTTCTTATATTTTTCCTTTCTTAACCCATTCATCCATTGTCTATCGTCTTCTATCCATTCATCCACTCATATATTTCCAACTCATTTCATTCCATTTATCTCTTCCCATATTGCCTCATTTATCGATAAAGAACTTGGAAAAAACTCATAATTAAGTTTCAACAATAATTTTAATATTTTTTAACTTTTATCTTTTTCACCTTTCTTCTGAGGGGGGTGGGGTACAATTTTATAAGTAAGGTTATGATGGGGGGTACATAGTTTGAAAAGTAATTCAAAATGGGGGTTTGTTTTTAGAGCAGACGCATCTGCTTAAAAAAAAACACCGCCCCACCCTGTGATGTAATATACGATCAGTCCCTAAAGTGTTTCACTAAAGGTCATGGACCGCGCCGGACCTTCTCGACTCGCCACAAGCAGTTTGACTGATTACAACATCGTCAGTCCTCTATTGACTATTGTATGAACACTTAGTTAGCTTACTACAGTAAACCTATAAGTATTGTTGTATTGGTTCCAGTGAAAATCGACCATTTTGAATAACTGTTTAACCTTAGAAAGCGAATAGTGAACCTGTTATCCTTCTTTTATTAATTAGTAATACTTCTATTAGATAAATCGAAAACAATCCGCGTGGCAAGTTAACTGATCTTTTATGAGTAACGGCTTTGCAATATCCTGTCAGTTGTATGGTACAAGCGAGTGCATCTGATAGTCAACTTAGTGGTATTGTTTTCAGTGGTTCTTTCTTGCTGCACTACCTTTTGACAATCATATTACTTAATGATAAATTAGAAACCGAATGGTAAACCTGTTATAATCTCTATTAATTAATACTAGCGATTAGATCACAATGGCATGTTATTAATAAAATGATTTTTTGTGAGTGAACTTGAGACAGCCTGTCAGTTGTATGGCACAGCCGAGTGAAATGTGCTGTTGTTTTCAGTATTCTTTCTGTATACCTTTCGACATCATATCGCACTTAATAGACTAATTACCTGAATTACTTCGTCCCCAACTCATGTCCAAACAAACCATGGTGTATACTATCAGTACCAGTGTTTTCAAACTCTCCATGTTCTGATGTGATTTCTGATTATTAGCAGCTTCGTCGATAATTACCGGAAAAAAGTTCTGAATGCGAAACAACTTTATGCTGA